ATTTTTTGCGGTCTCTGTCTTGTCTTGGCCCCGACTCAATTTGGTCTCGGTCTTGTCTTGGTCTCGGTCTTGTCTTGGTCTCGGTTTAGGCGGTCTTGACTACAACACTAGTGATTGTATGTACATTTGCGCCTCAAACTGATGAAATGGTACCAAATTTGTACGTCGTAAGATGTCGAATATGAGCATGTTGTTTCAGAGGGTTTTGACCCTGATGGGGTTCCATATGGCTGCCACGTGATTTCTGCATTGATTTCATGCATTGTCTGTGCACCCGCACGAAATAGTAAGACTACACATACGAGAGATTCAGTGCCACCACTGTTTATACAAAGTAGCATCTAATTTTTTTTGGCCAGAAGATAATCAAAACTGAATATTTTCAGAGGCAAGAGAAAATATTCCAAGCACTATTGCCTTTTATGTACAACGTCTTCAAAATTTAAAGACAGTTTAAGTGTCTTCTGCTTCCGAATTCAATCTGAGCTAAGAAATATGTACAAAGTACAGTGTACGGAGTACAATGAAATTCTTGCTTACTTTCATAAGCAACATTATTTTTTAATACGATTCCAAGTATTTAGAGATTTGGTGAGACATTGAGAGCCTGGGGTTTACGTTTATTTTTTTGCTAGAACATTCCTATTGTTATAGGAAACAAAACTTAGTAAGCTCTGCAATTTTAATGACGGCTCCTTTTCAAAATTATCTGGTATATCTTTAACGTTAAAGTTTTCCAACGCTACTTTCGCATAAGCTCTGCATGCGTCCTCCGACCAGTGGGTAGAATATAGAAAATTCTGCAGCAGTATTAAGAAATTAGCACCGTGCTGTGGAGGCAACGAGTGTACAGCATTTCATCTCTCAACTTCTTACAGATAAGTGAGTTTGGAAAAGGAGCCGACCAAGATGGTTTTCTCGCACTGGTGGGCCTGACCTTTAATTCTCCAGATTGACATAAACTGCACGTGCAAGGATGAGCAGCAGCACCGTCTGCATAGCGACAACAGATGTAAATGCACGTGTCGCACGCATGGAGTATAATCCAGCCCTTAGACTGTCTACCCTTCAGAAGCCTGTGTTAATTATCTTAGGTTTAGCAGTGTTTGAGACATCAAACTCATTCCTTATCTTAATTGATGTCCCACCCAGCTAGTTAACTGATTTTCATGCAGTTGTTTCAGAGATTGATCACTGAAAGTACTCTGTGGGGAATATATAGAAAGCGGTACAAATTAGGTTTCCACTGGCAGGTTTGGAGCAATTTTCAAAGCTCTGGTGCCCACGTAATCAAAATATTTTATTATGAAGTCAATACTGAATGTTTTTGCATGGAGCTATTCTTGGCTGGTTTGTAATGGTTTAAAATTGAATGTGGTGAATGGAGGATTTCATGCAATTCCGGAATGGGAAAAGGGGTGGCTGATGCTACTGTATGAAGTGCTGAGTCTTGTGTGCTTTAGTAAGACTATTGCTGACTTTTTTGCAGCCTGATTACATTTGAACATTTGTGCATATGTGTGGTTTAATGTTGTGTAAGACACTCGTAATGAAGGTCTGTGGGGAAAAAGTCACCAAAATAAAAACATTTATTTTTCAAAAGCAGAGCAAGCCTGCATATGCTGCTTCAGCAAACGAGGTGGTGAAAGAACGGAAGAAATCGAAGCCAGAGGAGCTCAAGTCCCCCCCGGAATCATCAGAGGGGTCCACAGCAGAGAATGGTATAGAGGGCAGGGAAGCTGACCAGCTGAATGGGAACAAAGACGATGGCGGGGCTCCAAACCAACCTGAAAGTGCCTTGAGCAATGACTCAAAAATGTGCAATACTAATTCTCATTTAAATGCACTAAATGCAGACAGTGATTGCCACAGAGACGAAGCTCTGGGCACCTCTGTCTTAAAAAAAGAAGAGTAAACCTATTTTTTATAGAGAGGGTGAAGGATGATGGAAGGTTCAGGGTTAGGAATATCTGGAAAGATGGAAAGCCTACAGTCTATGTACATTTTTTCGTCTCCGTAAGAGAAAACGAGGACTTTTGAAATTTGGATCCCTCTTTGATGTCAGCAAGTTTAAACAAGAATGTCTATTTCTCGATTTAATAAAAGACGATAATACCAGTTACAGATAAAATGCTACCAGTATAAGGAGTAGGACAGGCCGCTCCCTCATCACTATTTACACGTTTCAAACTGGTTACGTGAGCGTTGTTTTCTTTTTCTTGAAATACTGAAACTAAAAAATGCTTTCATTTGGCAGTCTTTTATTATAGGTTGAGATACTCTTTTCAGTACCTGGCATCATATATTTGCCATTGTAATTGATTTTGTGTTGTGTCACAGTAAAGATGTTTTGAGATTTAAGCTCACAGGTGAAAAAAAAAAGAGAAACACAAAACCACATTTCTCACGAGTCATCACTGTGGGTTTTATTGTGTTGAAAAATGTGCAGAATAATTTCAAAATTAAGTAACTGTAGAATACTGCAACTTAAGTTCAGAACTCAGTATGCATCATACTTAACGATATATAAGTAACATGTCAAGAAACGGTTTTTAAGGAAAAAAAATCACCGAAGATGCAGATCTTTCACAGAAACACTGATACATTTTGTGTCAAATTGCCATGCATCAGTGATCAATGACAAATGTGGTTTCTTGAATCAACTGTAGAACATTAGTACTACTGTTTCAGCTAAACTTTCTGCATGGTTCATAATTTTAAAAGGTGTGTAGTTATTATGCATGTTGTCCTTCTTCCATCCTTAAAAGTACTGTGCCCATTTGCAAAATTTTAAAAAAGGCTAATAATCAGTAATAGTCCTATAAAAGGTGTTAACTGTTTAGTCAGTAACTGATTTGCTCTAACCTTAAATTTCTGTGATTATTGACCTTTGTTGCATTTAATCAAAAGAAAAAAAATTATCTAGCCACTTTGAATATTGTTAACCCTGGTGTACTCATTACTGTATACATTATTGTTCTCTGTTGCTGTTTTATGCATTCATATTAGCAAAACATCTCTCTGGGGAAAAAAGAAAAATCTCAAAAAAAAAATAAAAAAATAAAAACTTTAATCTTAAATTTACCCCCCTTTTCGTAGCTGGAAACGAGTCAAAGAGATGCTTGACCTTCCCATCAAGAGTTTAGCATAAGCAAGTAAACCTGTAATCATTTTCAATGTTTACTTTAGTGTTTTCAAACTTATTGTACTTAAAACAGAATCATTACTTAACTTTTTTCATCTAATTCTCCAGATGCTTTTCATCACACATTAGTGATCAGAAATACAATGTATTCCCCGTCCCTGCCCGCAAGAGCTAAATAGGATACCTTGATGTAAGTTGAACGGAGTTTCTACCTAACTCATGGGTTGTAAAAGAATGAACTACTGTTGGGTTTGACTGACTGTTGATGGATTGTGGTGTGGTGTATTTGAAGGCAAATGAATGCAACTTACAATGCTTAATAAAAGTCTTTATTCTTTTAGTATAAAACTGGTTTGTGTGTCCTTTTTTAAAATCGATTGTATCATCACCAGTGGACAGTGCAAGAATACGTGCAGTTGAATTGTGGGGGGTTAGTAAGTGAAGGTTCTGCTCAGTGTATTTAACTGGGTTATTTTTGGCTAACAATTTCATGTTTTATCTCCTCAGTTTATTCTGGCATAACCCATCCTTTTACAGTAGCATTCTGCATATTATATACTATTGACACACAATTATATCCGTTAGAAATGTTTCCATGAAAAAATTTGGAGCACTGATTAAATATGCCTACATGTAACACCAAAATTACCTCACTAAATGTGCCTAATTACCTAAAGTGAATTGTTTTAAACCATTCATTTCTTGCAGGTGTCGTGACATTAAGTGTTTATAACCTAATATCACTTTAGACATCAGTTAATCGTTTCCAATTCTGTTAAACTGAATTCATAATCAATTCATCAGGAAGAATTTGGTTTCCTATTAGAAACTTAACGAAGCTTAAAGGGAACACATTTGGCAATTCTCGCAAATGAACTTGCCCTCAAACGCAAGTGGGAGCGATCTAGATGAGAAATTAACTTGTAATTATATTCTTATAATCAAATGATTGCTAACTTCAACATTATAGGGTATACATATTTGATTCCTTAATTGTTTAATGCGGGGTGTTTACGAATTTGGTTATTTGGAACATACTTAAAAATACTAACATGAATACGAACATAGGCCTAAACGTCATCGTTAAAATATTGGATACATATAGAGTAAATTCGCAGATGCTTTTTATAATCTGTGAATGTTATTACGACTTTAAATATTTTAATGCTTATTAAGTATATTTTACTTTATACTTTTATTTTCATTTAATTTTATTTTCTTTTCAGTTTTAATATTTACACTTCAAGTCGTGCGCAGTGTATTGTAATATTTTCATGATACAGTATCTTCCACTGACGCTCTGTTTGGTTCCGTTTGAGGTGCTTAAGTATATGGATGAATTGCATTTCGAGTGTCCTTGCAACATCATGTGAGCTGGCTGTAGTATTAATAAAACTCATTCATTTGAGCCGAAGATCGTACCGTTTTACAAGCTGACGTAACAATATTACAATGAAAGGAAACATTTTCTTACTGTTTATGAAAGTCTAAAATACTGTACAGTCACCAGGGGGCATGCACACAGTAACACACTTGAGGAAACATAATTGGTCCAATATTTTGTCAAGAGAGTAATTTAAATGCGACCGGACCACTATGGGATACGTTTAAGATGTCATTGTACATGAAAGTGGTGTGAGCGGCGGCGAAACGGCGAGCTGTTTTGGGGATTTTCCAATTCAGATTTTGTTGCAGGAGGGTTTTTGCAGCCCCCGTCTCTCCGGCGTTGTTGTGAATTGATCTAACATGGCGACTGTACCAGTTTATTGCATCTGTAGATTACCTTACGACGTAACCCAGTTTATGATCGAATGCGATGCCTGCAAGGATTGGTTTCACGGCAGGTAAAGACGCCAGTTACCGTGGCGAAATGTTCTACTTTGCATGATATTTTGACAGTGTTATTTAGATATATATTTTAAAAGCTCGTAGTCTGTCGTTCGCTGGCTACATTTGTATTACCAAAAAGCGAGGCCGCTTGAAGAAGAAGGCGGAGTTATATTTAGCTGGCTAGGTTGTGACATTTTCGTGAATAGCACAAAAACATTTTTTGTCAACAAGGGTCTCGGTCTGCCTGCTTTAATTGTGTGTAATTATATTTCTTCGTCTTTGTTCGCAATCGCCAAGAGTTGTTAGTGCCTTTTCCAACCTTTACATTGTTGTCGTAGTAGCTGGAAAGGCTGAATAAGTACCCATCTGTACAAGCCATGATTTTAAGATTCGTATATATGTAATGTTTATTTACACCATTATTAAGAGTTTCTATTTCACCGAACCCATGTATTTCGTGTGCTTAAAAAATACTTCATTTTTAATAGCGTAAATATGAAGCTGTTGGCACAGATATCAAATGGTTCTTGAATAGATGTATTCCCATGTAAAAGAAAGAAAGAGAATTTAGCTGCGATATCTTTCTCTTTCAGTATGATGTAAGGGTCTGTTTTATTGAGAAAACTGAACGTACCCCAATGCATATAATCTGCTGCGGGATACTATAGAAATGTACAGATCTTAATTAGCTAGCTAGCCGACAACTGTGTCAGTCTCTGAGCATCTCAGCGAGCTACATTGTTTCAAATTTATCGGCAATATTTACTGTTTTTATACTTACACGAGTCTAAGGACGAAAGCTACTTAAGTAGCTACGTAACAGCGTGAATTTGATTTAAAATAAATGCTTATAAAGTGAATGAAAAACTAGCGTCCTGTTCTGGTCCAGTGACTGAGGATATTTACGCGCGTTTAACTTTAACCCTTTCATAATAGCTACAGTACAACGCATATTCTTTTTCATTAAATATGTCATTACTCCAATCTCTATCTGAAAGTAGCTGTATTTGGCATAAGCCCAGTTCATTATGACATATAATCTTAATTTTATGAGTCTCCATCTCCGGGGAAAGTAGAGTAAGAATGGCATATAAAATAATTGAGCGGTCTTTAATATGCTGTAAAATGTGTGGTCCGACACGCTAGGAAAGGTCTTCTCGTAGAAGAATTATAATTCCAAATGTGAGTAATGAATGCAGTCTGTGTGGAATAATGGCTGCAGACAGCTGAAGCTCGCATGGCTTAAACCAGAATACAATGAATTTATTAAAGCCTGGCGTCTGCTCCTCGCTCGGAGGGTTAATGTGTCTTCGCAGGGACGGGCTCGGCTTCCCAATAACGGGCTGATTGTCAGCATGCTCACTTTTTTGCTGCTTCATTTCATATCTCTTCGCTCTTCCCTCTTACGTTACAAATACGCGTTACCCAGGTTAAAGGTTAATAATGTGATATTCAGTTAAATTCCTCTTTATTGCGTTTTATTGAACATGTTTTATTTGCGACATGTGTATATTTTTCCTACGTTATTTTAATGCATATAATATTAGGGCAGAAGTACATAGGGTATATACATGTATATACATTTTGTGTGAATTATGTTTTTATTGATCTATTTTATTATTATTTTAGTTGTTAGAGTGGTCGTAAAACTAAGAAATTGTTTAGCCTGAGGGAGAAAAACAATGTGTGGGCTCAGAGTGAGTGTGGAAAATGTGTAATTTATCCTAAATTAGTATTTTTTTTTATATGTAGGCTGGTGAGGGTATTAGTGCTTGTTGATTGCAAAAGGGATATGGTATTGAATATTGATTCAAACTAAAGCAATTCTTTGTGATCCTGCCCAGCTGTTTTCAACTCACAAAAGTTCATTGAAGGGGTCTTTATTTTTCCATTAGTTTTGCTTTTTGGTTTTCATTAGTTTTTAATTCATTGGTTAACATTTTCTGTAAACTAGGCTATATTCTTTAACCCTTTCAAGACAAATGTGATTTTTAATTTTTTTTTTTTTAGCAGTTGAGGAGAAAGTCTTCCTTTTATCGTAATTGTAAGCAACCTGTTCTAATGGTTACCCCACAACTTCTGTATCTGTGCATAGACTCCTGAGTACCGCTGCTACTTCTCACTGATGGAAAGCTTTGGCATGCTTTCTGCAGTGGTAGGGTGGAAAGACTCACACCAGCGTTATATACTCTGCTATTATCTGTCCTGTCTCGTTGCAGAATCTTCTTACTTGCGAGTGTGATGTTTACGATTTATTAATTTATTTGTGAAAAATAAGGGAAAAGGACACTAAAGATATTGCGGCTCATCTTGCCTGGTTGCGGGGTTTCTGTTAGACATTACCCTGTGCAGTGATGCGTCCAGTGCAGTGAGCGCGGGGATCCCGTCTGTTTCCATTGCAGCCGTCGCATTTTCTCACTCTGTGAGCCGTCCCACCTCCTCTGCTGGCCGTTACCGTGTCTGTTAGCATTGTCATTACTGCTAAACGTACTGGCTTATGCCTCCAGTTACAACCAATGCCGGCTGTATGTTCTCCGCTTCTGCAGGCTGCAGTTGGCTAGACCATCCTTATTTTTTAGTGCAAAAACTATAATTCATAATCTGAATAAAATCGATGCATAAATGTGTGTATTATAGCATAAAGTTTTTTGTAAAATTCATTTCTCCACTAAGTTTGATTCCTCTCTCAGGCTGCAGCTCCACCAAGAATCACCGCTGTCTGATGTTTGGCTTCCTTCAGTCAGTAGTACAGTCAGTGTGTGTCTCTTAACACACAGCAGGCTGCACGGCACTGAGGGCGGGCAGTAGCTCAGTGAGTGGCAGGTCTCCACGTGAGCCCATAGTAGCCAGAAGGCCGTGCTCCTTCAGCTTGGCCAGAAAACCCTGAATAATATTTGTGGCAGAACCTGCAGTCACCTTTGAGAAATGGCCCAAATTTGCGTTTGGACTAAAGAACCAAAAGGTGTGCAAACAAACAGACAGCTGTTCTGTAAATGTTACACTGCAAAGTCCTCAAATGAAAATGATTATTTTATATATAACTGCTTCTTATATAGACTCTTTTATCTTATATTTTGCATTTATATATTGCTTGGGGACGGAAGAAAAAATGCACTGGTATCTATGTAGTTAATTTAGGGTGTGTCTATACTAGTGTGTCAGGCCTTAACAATGAGCTTGAACCGTCCATATATATATATATATATATATAATTTATTTATTATTTTTTTAATTTCTATTGCATTTCTTTTCCAAAATGCATGTGAGTTGTTTATATGTTTCAGTAGAGGTCTTAAGTCATTAGTAAAACAAACAATTCTGACAAGTTCAAAAAGTTTTAAGAAATCCTTAAGCAATGTCTGTGGAGAATTCCTTAGTATGTCTTAGGGAGTGAGCCGCATAATTCATTTCTCATTGATCTCATTAAACAAATAATTACTAATTTAGATAAATTGATAATACTCTAATTATTCTCTAAACAAAGCTTTTTTACTTACTTATAGCTCGCATGGCTTAAGTAATGTTGTAAATAAGGAAGTCATTTTTTAACTAAATAAATTTTTATTGTGAAGGTGTATGTGTATAATATTGTAAATATATGTATGCTGTTTACTTAAATGAAATAAAGTGATAAGGTTTAGTTATTATGTAATAAAATACATACTAGAGCAGAATCTTGCCTGTTATTTCTGTTTCTTTCCGTGAAAAAACTGAAAACATGATTGGAGGAACGAGGAGGAACTTAATGTATGGAAACTGAGTACATTTAGAGGGACACCCATCTATCCATCCATCCATCCATCCATCCATCCCTCCCTCCATTTTCTGTATCCGCTCCATCCCATTCAGGATGGCAGGGGGTCTGGAGTCTATCCCGGAGGCTACAGGCGCGAGGCCGGAAGCACAAACAATACATCTCAATATGTTACAAGTAGCTAAATGTACTGTAACTATTAGAAAAAGTAAGGAAATCAATTCTAACGTATGCACATAAGTTTTAAAAAAATTGGAATGTTGAAAAATATGAATGAAGCTTTTATTTATGGGGGAAAAAAATAAAACAAATGGTTAATAGTATGTGTAACTGAGTTGAAATGTATCCTGATCTTGTTTGGACTGTCCCTCTCCTTCTAGGGTGACACAGTGGGAGATTAATCAATAAATAGCATTTTAGACTCGAACAATGCTGTGTGATGGTGTTCTCTAGTTCTTTAAAATGGGTACACATGTGCTGCACAACCATTGTATAGATCTACAGAACAACTGTCAAGAGATTGGGATGTTCATAGTTTGATAACATTCTGCAAAAAATATGACATGTGGTGGCACAGTGATAGTTGCCTCACAGCTCTGGGACCCGGGTTCGAGTCTCCGCCAGGGTTCCATGTGTGTGGAGTTTGCATGTTCTCCCCATGTTGTTGTGGGGTTATCTCCAGGTACTCCGGTTTCCCCCCACAGTCCAAGAATATGCTGAGGCTAACTGGAGTTACTAAATTGCCCATAGTGGGTGCATGTGTGAGTAAATGGTGTGTGAGTGTGCCCTGCGATGGGCTAGTGTCCCAACTTGGGTTGTTCCCTGACTTACGTCCATAAGCTCCAGGATAGGATCTGGCCCCCCTATGACTGAGGCTACAGAAAATGGATGGATGGATGGAGATTATGTGTGTGTTTATTTTTTTCAGTTTGATTAAACTGCAGCAGAATAAAACATGTTGCCTGTAAATGTGGAAGCGTGTGAAGCTGACCAGGTCTGGGCACTCTGCCCGTGTCCAGAAAGTCGTAGGTTTGAAACTCATGTCCGACAGAGTAATAATATCACCGTTTGATCCGTGAGTCCTGCTTCACCAGCCATGCTGGCTGGCCCGACTCTCTGACCCCAGGCTTCCTTCAATTCTACTTTGCGTTGTAAAAAAAAAAAAAAAAGTGTACAGTTTGTTAATAGACCTTGATTACACTTCGAAAGACAGATGTAGGACCGTACTAGATGATATGCATTTCTGCCTTTCAAGTCATTCCCCAAAGAAAGTTTATTTTCCTCATTTGCAAACATTGTGATTTGTTATTTTAGTTCATGGTAAGCAGACAACTAACTGGAGCATCGGGGTAGTCTGTGATTTTTACTCATTTTAATGAGTCGTGTCCTCATAAGAGGAAAAATCTATACAGATGTCTGGAAGGAAACACTGTTTAAAGAAGTAATGGCCTCGTTCAGGTTACTGGGGGTTGTAGTCTTCATGCTGCGGGCTTTGAATGCAGCTTCTAGTGAGGATGTGCAGACCTAGAGGCATATTCTTACTATTGTAACTATTATTAATAGGATAATTTTGTGTGAAATCCAAATATTTTATTGGGGCAGCTCCCATGAAGGCCTTCCCGGGTCTATAGAGAGCAAACATGAGGTCTAGGGTCACAATCATCATTGCAACGTCTTTATAATGTGAATCAGTAAAAGAAGCAGTCAGATACGTCTCCTTATTCTTTGCTGTTTTGATGTATGTCTGTGATTCAGATCGTCATCCACATCTACGGTGTGTGTAATAGTACTCGCGTCTGCTGTATAAGACTGTTTGGTTTTAGTACTGTATTTTGTGCATAGATGCCTTAATGGAGGTATAAGATTTGTTTTTGCTGTTGAGTAATATTCAAACGGCCTTACAATCATTGACGCTTAAACACTGACAGAAACCTAATTTTGAAAATATGTGTTGTATGTTGCTAAAAGTATGATTAAATAATTTGAATTTTAAGTTGAATTTTAAAGGGCCCTGTTTTCTGTGTTTTAGCTGTGTTGGGGTAGATGAGGATGAGGCCCCAGACATCGACATTTATCATTGTCCCAACTGTGAGAAGACCCACGGCAAATCTACATGTGAGTTCATGTCAGGTCGGCAGCTCAGATATGTCTCTATTATCCACCCCCCACCCCCCCAGTCTGTTTTTACATCTGTTTGCACGTCTTGATCTTTTTTATACATTGGCTAGTTCGCAGTTTTCTGGAATGGTGCTGCATACATTCTTCTTGTTCCTTCGTTTTTTATTTATATGTTCTGTTAAATAATTGAAGGGATGAGATGGAGCAGCACCGAAAAAACCCAGATTTTTGTAGAACAGATAATTTTCCACATTGTGCAATTATTTCTCGTTGTACTTTTTTATTCCTATGTTTTTATTTCTGCTGTTGTTACAGTGTTGTTAAATGCCCTTTGCAAGGGAGTTTGTTGCACATAAAGTAATGTACCCTGACTGAGGTAATCCCCAAAGATTTTAATAGAGCCAATTTATTTATATTCCTGCACTTTCCGTACAGCAGTGTGCCCACAATTACACTGTTATGGTTTTCTTGAAGGTGGCCATCCAAGGTTCTTAGTGCTTCCAAATTAAAATAATATATATTCAAGATTAAATCTCTGGTGTCAGTGGATCAGCTGCAACAGGCCACTTTCCCACTCAACGTGGCTTGTGCTCCTTTGTCCTGTTTATTTGTCGTCAGTGAAAAAGAAGAAGAACTGGAACAAGCATGACACGGGGCAAAGCACGGATGTCAAACCCGTCCAGAACGGCAGTCAGGTGTTCATCAAGGAGCTTCGGAGCCGGACCTTCCCCAGGTGAGCTGCAGAATTTTGGATTTATTTGGTCGGGAGTTAAGGTGACAGACACTCAGTTGTTAGTTATCTGATTTCGCGCCTCCACGCTGTGTGTGTGTGTGTGTGTGTGTGTGTTGTTTGCACCCTGCAATGGAGTGGCATCTGGCACAAAGTGTCCCCTGGCCTGAACCTCCCTGGCACCGGCTCTGGGCTCCTTGTGTCCCTGTATGTGTGGAAGATGGATGGATGGATGCATGGATGGATGGATGGATGCACTGAATGACAAACTGTTTCTATACATTTCTGTTGTTTCCTAGCCTGTAACAATTAGTATGAGTCAAAACATGCAATAAAAGGAAAAAAAGTTGACATCAAATTTTCACTTCATGAATATTTCAGTAGATGGTGCTCTCTAACTAAATTTGTGAGGTTTGCACCGTCAAAATGCAGCAGTTATGCTGACAGCAGATGGGGTTGTTTGCTATGATCTAGCATTTCCAACGAAAGAGCGCAGCTTCCCTGTTCTACAAGACATGTTATCTTTTTGCTGAAATTGCTTTTCCTCGTAGTTCTGAGGACGTAGTATTAAAGTTGAGTGGACACCAGCTCACCCTGGACTACCTGGAGGAGAATGGCTTCACGGAGCCAATTCTGGTCATGAAGAAGGATGGACTGGGCATGACCATGCCCGCTCCCACGTTCTACGTCAGTGACGTCGAGAACTATGTCGGTCAGTGTTCTGTCCCTAATAGACGCCCATCGCTAATCAAAGTATGATGAAATGATACGTAAATAGGTATTTATTTCTGCACGGCCCCCTTACAAATGTAGAGTACTTCTGTCTAAGCAGAAACTGCAGTTAAAGATGCTGTTACCTGGGAGTTTTAGTGTTTTACATTCAATTTAATTTGAATATATTAATGCAAATTATCTTTCGCATGAACTGAGGAAGCAAATATCAACAGCTGTCTTCGCTTTGTCTGCGTCTTGCAAAGTGAAGCGCGTCTCTGATGGCGAAACCTGCGAGTGAGACGTTCCTCAAAAGGGCTCCGGCTGCTCCCTGTGCACATATGCTCCTCCCTAAGCCTGCCTCGCTCTGCACTGCGGCCTGCGGAGCACCCGCTCCCTGTCGAGTCCCTTTGTAGCACATCTTTAGCTTTTATTGTCTGAAGCTCTTCGCGCAGCTTTACGAGACACATTAATGAGATTGAACAGGATTATCTGTAATAACGATCAAGGCAGAAATATTACTATAGCCCATCCGTCCATCTTCCAAATGGTTATCTTAGGCGGGGCTGTCGTGGGGGTCCTGGGGCCCATCTCAGGCAGCCCAGGAATACTAATCTATCACAGAGATGCCAGTGAGCCTAACTAAACCTACACAATACAGGGCAATCATGCAAACTCTACGCACTGAGCAGAGGCGAGATTGGAACCTCCAACCATGGAGATCTGAGCCACCCTCTATTACTATAGTATAATTTCATTTTATAAATAATCTTCATAAAGTCATAACTTAATCAGTCATAATATTCATAAAATCATAACTTAATCAGTCATAAATAACCAAAATATCTTAGAGTTCCTTGTTCTCTGCTGTCAACAGTAATTAATATATCGTTTTTTCTTTAGGGCCAGATGTTCTCGTGGACGTCGTTGACGTCACTAAGCAAACAAACAGTGAGATGAAGCTCAAGGAGTTTGTAGACTACTACTACAGCACAAACAGAAAGCGAGTATTAAATGTGATTAACCTGGAATTCTCAGACACAAGGTAAAACCAGGTGTATGTGTGTTTGGCTGTAATATTTAAAAATGTTGTTAACGGAAGCATTATCCTTTGCATAACCTCCGATTCAGAATATATAATGCACTCTTCCAGGTGATGTTGTGATGCATGATGCTGTTGTATCATATGCATGCATTTCTGAGTTATGTTAGATGTAATGTGTGGTGGGGGGGTTTTAATTTTCATATATGCCCATAGTGGGAATGTTGCGATGGGTGGGGCAGGAAGTCCTGCAGAGACTGGGCCTGATGGTCCCTCAAGTCGGGCTGATTCGCTGTCAATCTCTCTGGAAGGATGGCAAGTCTGGTGGAAAGCCCTCAGATAGTGAGCAAACTTTCCTGGGTGGAGAACTACTGGCCGGACGATGCCCTGTTGGGAAAGCCCAAAGTGACCAAGTACTGTCAGATCTGCGTGAAGGACAGCTACACTGACTTCCATATCGAATGCGGGGGCGCCTCAGTGTGGTACCACGTGCTCAAAGTATGAAGTAGAGTCTTTTTTGGTCACCCACTGCACTTATTTGACTTGTCTTTTTATATTGTTTTTGGCAGGTGTATGATGAGAATGTTTCATAGTCTAGCATATGTCATATGCGTTTAGTGACAAGCACAGGTGACAGAGAAACAGAACTCTGATGTTCTGAGGAGAGGGAGGGTAATATCTGTGTGATGCTGTTTGCAGGGAGAAAAGATATTTTTCTTGATCAAGCCCACGTCTGCCAATCTGTCTCTGTATGAGCGGTGGAGATCTTCATCCAACCACAGTGAGATGTTCTTTGCGGACCAGGTGGACAAGTGTTACAAGTGCACGCTAAAGCAGGGACAGACGCTTCTAATTCCATCTGGTAAGCACGTCCGTTTTTTTATCTGTGTCGGCCTAACCCTCGCACCTTGTATAAATGAAAACGGAAAACCTGTCTTCAGTGCTTACCTGCCGTGTGTCTGAGGTCATGAATGGAAATGTAGTCATAGTAGCTGCAAGAGTGGAAAGTTTTGTGTTGATGTGCTCTGTCATCTCTCTCCTTTAAGGCTGGATAAATGCAATACTGACTCCGGTGGATTGTCTGGCCTTTTCTGGCCACTTCGTGCACAACCTGAGCGTGGAGATGCAGATGAGGTCAGTTTTTCATACATATTTTGACACCATCCAAACTTGCACTTAAAAATTGAATCTACCTTGAATAGCAAATGATTGAATGGAGAAAGGTTTTCTCAAGTGATTATATTAAGATATTTCTAAATGTACAGGCCGTGTTTTGGGTGCGTTTTAATCTCTCCTCTATGACAGTGTCTTACGTCAGCATGGTGTTCACTTAGATTCTGTATTCAGCTTAAGATTATCATATAATTCAATTACACGGTATAGCATGACTAATGCATTGAATGGTGATTGAAAGCTCCAGGATGCATTGAATGTCTTTGAGTGAATTGCCACAGTTAAGTTTTTCCTTTAGTAAAAGGATGATTATGATACTAATGTGACTTCTAATATGAAATGTAAGATTAGCCACTTTATGTTGAGTAATTTAATTGTTTAATAATAGATATTTATGAAATGATATTCATAAGAATGAATAGGTAAGCTAGGCAATGATGCAATCTAAAAATATATTAATATTAAAATTTCCAGCTGTAGTGTGGTGTGATCCAAGTCAACTGTAGAAATCTACATTTTCTTAAGAATTGTTATAAATTGCACTTTTGGATAAGATATTATGTTTTTCAGTAAATATTGATGATATGCATAAATATACAGTCCTTATGTCAGAAGCAGATGCTATCTCCTTTTTGTATTTATATATAAACACTGGTGTAATTGCAAAGCAATCGTAACCACTTGTATAGTACTGTGTATACTCATACTTTGTGTTTACGGATTATTATTCATAATGGAACCAAAATACAGAATAAATCTCTGTGTGCTCATGGCAGGAGAATGGTACTAAATGTCCACTGAAAATGGCTTTAATTTGTTTTGACTGGACACATGTTCACTTAGCGAAGGACCAGAAAACCTCACAGAGGGAAACTTTTGTGGTTGAGTTGTTGTATCTGAAGACAGCTCATGCGACTAGGTTTCCGTGTAAATCCAGCCGGGCTGCGAGCCGATTGGCCGGGTGATGTCAGAGATATGTCTTGACTGCAAGCTCTTGATTTCAAACAACTGGCTCGAGAGTCCAATTTCTTCTCCTGGCAGGGGAATAATTTTGTCCAAATAGCATTAACGGTTTTATTTCTGGTAGAAAGAGGTCTATCAAAGTTGGATTTCAGATGTTGCGAGTGGCTTATGGCTGTGTTGGGGATAGGGATCAAACTTGGAAAAAAGAATGAGTTTGCATACTCAGAGATCTCTCAGGTGGTCAAATCTTCACCATCCCTGGGTTTGAGTCAGGAGACCTGCAGCATCGTAACTAAGGAATAAGCAATCACAGCTTGTGTAAATATTTCACTTCTAAAAGCTTGAAGCATGTGCATTGTTTATCTGAAGTAAGGCGTTCTTGCATCTGCTAAAATCACTGATTGCGCTATTTTTAATGCATTGTTTCATTCAGGGATCGTCTGTAGGTTGTTATTCATAAGCTCAGTTGGTTTTGTTTTTTTTTTTTTAAATCCCAGAGCATATGAAGTGGAAAAACGACTTAAAGTTGGCAGCCTAACCCCATTTCCAAACTTTGAAACGGCCTGCTGGTACGTGGGACGGCATCTGCTGGAGAGATTCAAAGGTAAAGACCAAAACGTGAAAATGGCTGTGGGACACTATAAGTCGCACAAGATCTGCATCGTGCAAACAAAGCTGCTGCAGTGAAAATAATCTTTGCAGTTAATAGGCGATGCCCTTTTCTGCTGTGAATTTTAAAGTTATGACTTAAACATTTGCATTCATGTTCAGGAGAGTCGTTTGCACCTATTTCATGACTACCGATCTCAAGCGGCTTGACTCAGTCAACACACAGACACATGCTCAACAGATTCATCTGATACTGATTCCTTAAGGTTTGACATCTCCAGTCCTGTCCCCTTTCTATGGCCAACAAAGTAATTGTTTTTGGCCAAACTGAGAATATCCGCAGTTCTCGTGAGAGTATTTTTCAGTTTTCCAGTTCACAAAGATCCTTAATATACAAGCAAATGCCCCCACCTGCCCCCATTTTTGTCAGAACTTCTAAAAAGACAAAAAAGAGAAAGAAATGGAAAAAATCATGGCGTCTCTTTCTGTCCAGAGCTGAAATGTCGCTTCCTGATCCTTGACTCGGTGCGTGTTCTGCCTAGGGCCTGCAGAACAGATGAAGAACTGGATTCCCAAATGTTATTTCAGTCATTAGGCTGGAGCATCACTGAGTTCACAGATGATTAGCTTCAAAGGGCTCATCTGAGGCCGGAATCACTTGCTCCATTACAACTCCATGTTTAAACTTTGCTTAGCCGGAGCCGAGTTCTCTGTGTACATTTCCATGTTTTTTTTCTCTTTGCGTGTTTGTGTAATTTTATCAGTTTGCCTTATTCTGTATTGCCTTATTGTACATGAACTTTGTTAGGCTACACTGGTCAGTCACAGCACTGTTAGACAGAAAGTGTGGGTCACCGTCAAGGTTGACTTTATTGTTTGAGTTTAGATTAGACTCTGTCAAATCAGATCAAAAACCCTTTTATTCTCCCTAAAAGTTATTATTTCTGTGTTTAGTCTTTCTTTATGTTATTTATATAATTTTTGTTGTGGAATATGTTTCCTGTTGGGCCAGTACGTTCTGCCCAATCTAATCAATGTTGAAGGACACTATTTGATTGCTTTCAACTGCTGTGAAAGTTGCTATGGGTTCCAGGCATGGACAACTCCCTCTGTTTTTGGGACTAATCAGATGTCAGGGACAATGTCTTCACTTATTAAACAAGTTTGGAATACGTTGCAAGGTCCTTGCTTTTCTGGTTTTTGAAATCAAGGACCACAGTTGATTTTATTCTGCCCAGAAGGATTGTTACGGTGTTGTAAGTTGAAAAATGTGCAGATGTGCTGGTCTGGCAGCAATCACAGCGAGCGACTGTGTAAAGACAGCTATGAAATTTCAGGGTGTGATTTCTGTTGGGCATTCTGAAGAATGTCTTTAGGTACACAGAGAGGTCTCGAAAGTTTGCACAGATATACGAAAACATTTGCCGCGTTCAGCTCATTGGACCTTTTTTACAATCTGGGACAAATCACATTACTCCTGTTTGTCAAAAAAAGTTTGATCTTGAAAGTGCTACAGTGCAATTGCTTGTCTCTATGTTTTGTGCTGTTGATCCTGCCTGCCCACTCTGATTGTTTAAATTGCATGGCTGAAATCATTCAATCAACTGAACACACTTACAGAATCACTGTTTATTTTGGTTTAGCTCAAACAGAAATGGAGTGTTGTAGTCTAAAAATAGCCAAAATTGCAAAAATATATCTCCTTATTTTTATTTTTAATTCACAAAATGAATTTCGATCCATCACAATCACATAATAATTAAAGAATGCAAACTGGAATTGGTGCATTTCTGCTTTTTATTTATAGAAAGAACTTAGATTAGCCGAAACTTAGATTAGATTTATCAAGTCTTTTCTTAGTAAATATCAGAACAAATAAAACAAAGCAAATAACTAGCAATTCCCCAACCAACACATTCTGTTTAACATATAAATCGTTTGACTCATTTTGACAGAAGTTTGGTCATGACTAATTAATTAAGACCGCACTTGGAACACAATCTGATTGGGAAACACTGGCTTGTATCTTGGACATTTTTATCAACTGGCTTATTATTTGTCGTTACGAGGCAACAGTATGAAACACTCCATCCCAAATGTATTGTAAATGTGTATGAAACGTAACAAATGAATGTGGCGTCTTATAGCACATGTGAGTTGTAGGTCTTGTGCAGCGCCCATGTAACAATGCTATTAGACTAATGAAAATGTTTCTCCTCAGGCTTACATAAGGCAAACAAACAGCCAGCCTCTTATCTGGTCCAAGGTGCCAAAATCATTAATGGAGCCTTCAGGTCATGGACTAAGAAACAGGTAGGTCTTATCTGAAATGGATACTTGTTATAGCAGTTAAGTTATAGGCTGAATAATTCAATTAGTGACACTTTACTTGATGGGACCCAAGTAACAGTTACTACTCAAGTACAAATCATGAACAAATATAGTAAGTGCATGGATTACATGAACTGTTATGATTAATGATGTATGAACATGGAATCAATACACAAATAAAGTTAGTTTCTGGTTAATTAATACATTAAGTATGAGGGTAGTACTATATTATTTGTGCCACCTCAAGTAGTGTTACCATTCAGTTTAAGTGAAATCAATGAAATGTTTCTATGAATTTCATTTTAATGTTTAATTTATTTATTATGGCAAAATACATCATGCTCTGTAGATGACTGGCTGGTTTGTTTGTTTTTGTTTTCTTTGCTATAGGCTCTGCTAGAACATGAAGATGAACTTCCAGAAAACATGAAGCCAGCACAACTCATTAAAGACCTTGCCAAAGAAATCAGGATTTCAGAGGTAGCTCTTTGTTCCTTTGGAGTTGGTGTATGACCTGATGTCAGACATCCTGGGAAAGGAGCTGATCTGAAAAAAAGCAAACACGAGAAGTTCTAGTTATTCCCGTGGTGGGCATTTTAAAAATAGTTTTCTTCCAAAGAACATTTTTGTGTGGCACCATATATACATAAGTGTTTCCCAATCTGATCCTCAGGGACCCACAGATAGTCCACGTTTTTGTTCCCTCTCAGCTGTCTGGGAGGGAGCAAAAATTTGGACTGCCTGGCAGGGAGCTCGGAGGGAGCAAAAACTTGGACTGGCTGGGGGCCCCCAAGGACCAGATTGGGAAACTGCTTATACATTAAAGCGGTGGGGCTGAGATGCCATTTTCCCTCTGTCCTCTTTTGGATGGTTTAGCGGTTGCATGTTTTGCTGTATTGGCCGTAAACATCAAAGTCTGATTGAATTAAACAAAAGTACATGTGACTAAACTCTAAAAGCGCCTCCTCGTGATCACGTGGGTAATTTAACCTGGTGGAGCGGCCCCATCTTTTCCAGAATGCAACAAAAGCCATCAAGGCAGAACCTGGTGCCAAGATGGCGGCTGAGGATCCCCTCCCTCCACCTGCACCGGAGCCAGAGGAGCCCGTTTCCCCGACGCCCGCTCCCACGCCCCCCCAGGAAAAGCCTTCCCGAAAGAAAACTCCCAAGCCTCCTAAGCCGCCCAGACCGCCTAAACTCCCAAAGACCCCGAAAGCTCCAAAGACTCCAAAAATAAAGGATGGAGGAAAGAAGAAGGTGAAAAAGGAGAAAGAAGGTGTCATTCCGCCAAAAGTCTGCGGCCTGGCTTCTCTTGAGTCCCACGCTAAGGAAACGCTGACCAAGACGGATCAGCCGAAAAAAGGCAGAGTGAGTGCTCTCTGGAATTTTCATAGTGGCGTGTAACTCCAAAACGAATTCATTAGTCACAATAGTAATGCCATATGAGTCATCCTGCTAAAAGTCAAGTGTGGCCTCAACAGTCTGCACGCTGTCGGCTTTAATCGCGTGTTTTCCAAAAGCTTGACTTGCATTTTACCCATTTGCCAAGGGCCTCAGTGCTTTGAGTAGTCACTAGCCAATGAAAGTGTCACGTTGTCCCTTCTACTTGATGAACAGGCTGCCAAGAATGCTTTAAGTGCTTCGGAGAAAGAAGCGAATAAGCAGAATGACGTCGAGAAGTTTGAAATTCGAGAACAGAACAAAAACAAACCTGAAGCGAAGTGGAAATACAAGGTGAGTTGAAGGCACTGGAAATGGAATGACAGAGTTTGGTGTTGTTGCTATGTATCGGAAATTTGTGATATTGTGGACGATGATTAACTCAGTGGGTTATAGGGAAGGTTGTGGGTTGGAATCCTAAGGCCAGCCATCGCTGTTAGACCCTTGAGCAAGTTGGGCCCTAAACCCTAGTTACTCCAGGGGCCCTGGATGCTGGCTGTCCCTGCACTCGGACCCCACGTTTCTGTATTTGTACACGGCTTTGAACAAAAGTGTCTGAAATATGTGTATATTTTATCATTTAAAAAAAAAAAATGTTATGCTGTGACCTGGCATGTTGAAGTGTCATTGTGAGTTTTAACCTAATCAGATTGTGCTGTAAATAATTGAGATCAAAGCAAACTCCAAGACCAGGGGCCTGTATTATGAAGCAGGATTTCTTGCTTTGCCACATTTAAGGTAGTCTGGGCTGAATGTAAGTGAAAGAAGATAAAGTCCATTTAAACTGGGGTACCTTAAATCGGACAAGCTAGGGAGCCAAGCAAGAAATCCAGCTTCATGATACAGGCCCCAGTTCTGTGACTTTTTTTGTTTTTAACCTGCCTGAGGTTTGTCATGGCTGCAGGGCAAACATTACGCGCTCAGAGTTAACCTAATGACACCGTGTCATATTAATGGCATTTTAGCTAAGTATTTACATATGCCCCAAAGTAACAAAAAACATTGATTGGTCATTATTTCCGAATAATATGGAATTGCTTTTGTAGGAAGGCTTAATTCTGGAGAACGGAAGACATTAGAGGGATTTTGTTTCATGGAAAATTATATGCCAAACAGTTCTGGAATGTTTGTAGTGACTCCAAGTATCTTAGTCCAAGTGCTCCTTAGCAGGGCTCTCAAACGTTTGCAGATGGAGCTGAATCCCTGTCAGACATCCAGGGAGGTCATCACAGACAAGATCTTTGAAATCTTTCACTCTTGATCACGCACAAACTGGTAAAGGTTCATAGTCAGGGCAAATACTTGCTTGTGGAAGGATACAAAGTGTTTATTTTTAATATGAAATATGGAGATGTGATACATGGACTTTATGAAATACACAATTGTGACAAGTTGACTTATGTTCCTTAGAAAGGACAAAAAGTACTAATTACTTGATCTGCGTAACACAGGAAATCATTATCAGCATACCTGTTCTTACTGCCTCTGTCTTATGATAAGGATAATTATTATCTTTTGTTTGTAATAAAATGTATACTTTTTAATTTTTTTTTTTATAGAATAGTAAACCGGATTCCTTGTTGAAAATGGAAGAGGAACACAAATTTGAAAAGTCATTACTATCAGGAAACAAAGAGAAGTTTGCCTTTTCGTTTTCCCATAAAAAGTTGCTGGGGTTTGTATGCTGCTCATTCTGTACAGTTCAACTTCCAGCCATTAAGTTTTGATATATGCGAATGTGTGCAACTGAACTATGATATGAGCAAACAGCATGCTAGAAATCGAAATGCACCATGTACATTTCAGTATTTTTGGGATATTTTCACAGCTGCTTATGGGTTATTCTCAGACTGGTTTTAATGGCACTCACTAAAGTCCTACAGTATTTATATACTTAGCCTTCTGATGTGTGATCTCGGTTTAACCTATTGTTACCTTTTGTAATAATTATTAGCCCTGATAGGTTATCAGCGTGTATTAGTAGTATGTGTTATTGCAGTCTGAGCAGTTTCCTAAAAAATAGATGAAACAGATGGGTTCCACATACATGTGTGAGAGATCGCATGCAGCTTTCTTTAGGGCGATTGCTAGTTGTTAAAATGTCCTCAAAGTGAAAGAATGCTCTGGGTCCTGCCCTTTTTGGGACCCATATGTGGTAGATCTTTATTTCACTTTGATTCGCCTCTGATTGTAGCTCAAAAGGACCGAAGCCCCAAACTCACACATGCTTATTTGGATCGTTACAAAACATCAAGGAAGATAAGGCCAAAGTGGTGAGAGATGAGTATGAGTACGTTTCTGACGAAGGGGAGCTGAAGATCGACGAGTTCCCCATTAGGAGGAAAAAGAATACAGTAAAGCGAGACTTATCTTGTGAGTAATCTGACGGGTACAGACTCTGCTCGTTGATGTTCCTTATTTTAAGAAGCATTTATGTTCGAATTCCCTGAAATTCAAATCTTTGTCTTTGTAGAATTAAAAAATGTTTTGCTGCTTAATGTTCTTTCACCTACGCAAATCTACACTGACACTTGATTTTTTTTTTTTTGTTTGTTTGCAGTTTTGTCCAGTATTAAGGAACCCATACAACAGCCAAAAAAACCAAGGCTGCACCCTACAGCTCCCAGGGTACGTAAACATTGTGCTTCTGTGTGCAACCGACACACGCATTGGAAGTGAATTCCTGCAAATATAAGAAAGCAATAATTGAACATTCATGGTTCTTTAGTTGGGTTCTTTGCTCTTCTTTAATAGGCTCTGTAGTGGTGTGTTTAAGGTAGCGACACAGAAAATGATACAGATATAGCTTTTTCATGCAAAGTAATACGCTCTTCAGTCTGAAGGCTTCTTAGTGACTTATTCATGTCGATTCTGTGCTAGTTAATACTTCAGTCATGTTTGATGTCCTTCAGAACCCTATGTCAGGGCAACAGGTTTACTATTACAAAGGGAACAAAGGCAGCAATGATCAGAATTTACCCAAGGACGACCACAACTGATTTAAGGAAATAGCTGTGGCAAATTCAACTCCACTGGGAAATGGCTTAGAGCCAGATGCTCACATGGTCGCTGAGTGGAAGCTTATGAGAAGCTACAGCAATTTAATCTACTTTTTTTTTCAGCTGAGCCCGTATCTGAGATTGATGACATTATTGGTCAAATAAGGCAGTGTACTGTGTTAAATATGTTAAATTACGTATGGTTAAGCTACTGCGTAATACCAGTACCAATTGCATTTCTGCAACAGATAAGTCTATAAAAGATTTAATATATGAATTACAATCGATCAAAGAAAAATAACAATACAGATTGCAAGCATATTCATGACATTTGATTTATGACCAGAAGTGTACGCAAGTGCATTTAACTTGACCAGTAGTTTTGGCATACTCAGTTGATACCGTTGAATTTCTTTGCTATCCCTTGCTATTGTGTAGTATCACGTGTTTTTGTTTGAAAACAGAAGTCTGACTCATCAGATGAAGAGTCACTTCACATAGACACAGAGCCTAAGCCAGAGGTCAAAGGTCGGAACTCAAAGGTCAAGAAAGAGAGTGGGAGTGCAGCGGGGATCCTCGATTTGTTACAAGCCAGCAAGCAAGTAGGCGGAATCGACTACAATGCTAACAGGTACTACGGTACCGATCTTACCCATTTCTGTAGCAGTGTAATGATCTCTTTTCTTTGTTTTCTTCAACATGGCAAAGCATAAACTGAAGTGAACTGTCAGTGTTTTGTTTGACGGCAGTTGCATTAACAAAAATATATCATGATATTAAGCCTGATCATTCAGCTGGTTACATTTCAAAAAGAAACTGTGCACTGGATGTTGGAGCAAGGTTTTAAAAAAAACTGGCCTGTCTTAGCCTTTACGAATTAATCATCACAATAGCATCGGGGTTGTTCATAGGCCGGAATGACAATATATAAGTATATCTGTGGTCCATTTTTCACATTGAATTCAAAATATCCTGTAAATATAGCCATCTATCCATCCCCCCATCCATCCGTCTTCCCTAAACCCCTTATTCTGAGCAGTGGTGTGGGGTGTAAGTGTATTGTTTCTATAAATTAATAGCATTTCTATATAGTATTGACCAAGTATGTCAGACGTCAGACTTGAGTATTTTTCCTTCCTGGAGGAAATGTTTTTTTTTTTTTTTTTTAGTATTTAGTCAGTTTACTTAAGGATACCTTTAATATTTGAATGAATGATCAAGGAGGTTGTATTGTGATATAACGATTGTGTCACTGTGTTTGTGTGGAACAGGTGATGGAATGAAAGCCAGCATATCATCAGCCTTTGAGGAAATGAAATTTACCTCCTTTGTCTGGGAGCATAAAGTAACAGTCAGTCCAAAATGCAATTTAAAACCTTAATTTGTTGTTAAATTAAAAGCTTGCAAGAATGGCTCGCAATATAACTTAGTCTGACACTTATAAACTGGTTTTATAATCGGATTAGAGACTAAAAAAAAATCACTGGTCATAATGCCTATAAACTATAAACAATCTTTTTAAAGCGGAAATACTGCATTAACTGACATAATGTATATCTATGGCAGTTAATGTATAGTCAGTGTTTGTACGGTTTTCCTGCACAACTTAAAGCTCTGCTGGGAGGCTCTTTCTTTTTCCCCCAATTTGTTGCTTTGGTCAGTTTTTGATGGTCCATTTGAGATGCGCTGAAAGCTGCAAATGAACGAAAGCCAGAAGAAAACATTAGTAAAATATGTTAATTTCTCAGTGATTGTTTTCTCTGCTTTTAAACCCGACAGATTACGGCGGTATCGTGGGGAGAGAACAACTCCACTCAATTAGGACCCACTTTAAACAGGCATTTTCCTCTTTGTTGCCATTCACTGGGTAATGAATGAGGCAGTAATCTTGATTTTTGCGGTCACTGTTGCAGGATTCTTAAAGTAACAGGCAGATTTTACCATCTGCGTGTTATTACATCAAAATAAATTCATTTATCTCAATTAATTTTATTTAAAATATCTCTCTTGTACATGCTATTGGTACACGGTTTCTTCTTCTATTGTAATATTCAAAAAGAAAACCTAGAGAGTCATTTAAAAAAAGCATATAACCAAAACAAAAATAATCAAGTATATATGCATTTAATTGCACACCAAGTGGACTAAATACTTTACAGAACAATCAATATAGCTATACAGCCAATAATTTCGACAAGCTAATTATTTTTATATTTTTTAATTGCTGTGCTCTGCAGGTAAGTTTGGATAGATTGATGTAAAATTCCCTAGTATTTACGACTGACCTGAGCTGAACTGAAATACAGGGTAAAGTTCAGAGCAGAATAATGACCAGCAAACGACATTTTACTTTGTAGGTTCCGAACAGGCAGACTGGATTCGTCTTTGCTCTCTCCAGCTCTGGCCAGTGTAAGACCTGAGCTGCTCTCACTCCCACTGCCGCGCTGGCCCGCAGTAATGTGTGTGTGTTGTGTATTTCTTATCGACGTACTTACAGTCAGCCACCTGCATCCCCCAGCACACAGGAGGCCATCCAGGGCATGTTGTCCATGGCCAACCTGCCGACCTCAGACCCCTGCCTGCAACAGTCGTGGAGCAACAACCAATCAAAGGGCAACTCTGTCCCATCGGGGAAGAAGTCGAGCGGGGGCAGCGGCAATAACAAGCGGCCGGCCAAGCGTCCTCCAAAGAAGAGCCAGAAGAATGCCACCGTGGACAGCATGGAGATGTTTGATGATGACCAGGACCACCTAGACGCCTGCTTCAAGGACTCTGATTACGGTAGGGAATCGACCTGACCGCCTGCTGCTCCTGAAATATGTACGAATTACTCTGGAGCCGATAGTGGCATGTTTATATTGATAACCTTGGTACTCTGTCAAGTTTCTGCATAGCTGTGATTATTATTTAAAGGGGAAGTTTAAATGCGGTTTCACATTTCAAGACACACATTTTTTGAGAGTCTTCCCTGAAAGATATTAATGTATTTATTAAAATAAAAAGCACTGTGCAAAAATTCCTGAAGCTAAAAAGTGCCAGAACATTTTGTTTATCAGTTTTCATCTGGTTTCTCACTTTTGCTGGAAAGTGGTTAGAAATGATTGACTGCATTAAAATGAAAGGTAATTGAAAATCCCATAAATGAAAGCAAAGTGATTGCGCGTGTATTTGCCTCACAATGCATTCCATCCACGGAGTGTTCATTACTACAGCATTAACTGGATAAGCGTTTATTGAAGATTGATGTTTGCATGGATAAAAAGAATCTTGCCTTTCTGTGGGACGGGATGTTTGTTTTTTTTTTGTTTATTAAAATGTGCAGGACGTTCATATTGGAGGTTGTTAGACTGCAGTGTTTGTATTTATGTTTTGTAAGTCCTCTCCGTTCACTGCCCCTCTCATTAACTCTCTTTTCAGATACTTTAGTGTCTTTCCAACATGCCTCTCCCTTTCAGAAACCAACATTTTTTTCCCTTTGTGAGGCCTATCCAAGAACAGCAAAAGTGACCCTCCGCTTGTTAATATTTCATTAGCACAAGTGTAAGAATGTTGTTTTAAATGCTTTTTGATCTGATTTCCTAATCAGTCATTAGAGGCAAAAACGTTCCCATTTTAAAATCACACCACGGCAACATTTTTATTGAATTACACAAGCATTCTGTGCCTTGATTTTTTTGTAAACAGGTCATTTTTAATCTTGATAATTTAATTATAGGAAAGAACGTGCACTTAAACGGTTTCGTTGAAGTGGCCTTGGTGTATGCAGCGTGGACAGGGTGGGGTGAGGGTGCAGCATCTGTCCTGCAGATGGGCCGCAGTGCCCCCCCCCCCTCACTATACAAACACCACCTCCTCCCATTTTAATCAGCGGAAACCAAATACGGATGACAGGCCTATTTTCTTCCAATACCAGCAAGCCATAGGGGAAAGAAAGACACACACACACACACATACATACACACACACAACACACATACATATACACACACACATATATACACACACACACACACATATATATATATATATATATGTATATATACACACATACATATGTCACATTTATTTATATATGTGTGTATGTGTGTTAGGTCTTTGGTAAGGGCATAATTCCATATATGTTATGTTATAGTTTTGATGTCTTTATAATTATTCTAAGATGTAGAGAATAGTAAACCTTTGTATGGGTAGGTGTGTCCCATCTTCTTGACCAGTAATTAGTGTGTGTGTGTGTGTGTGTGTACAATATATATACGTGCACACACACACACACCCAACCCAAAAGCAGCACTCTCTTTGTATTGATCTTGTTAACTCACAGCCTGTCAGTGCTTGTTGAAATTAATTGAGGAGGAGCTTTTTATAAAACAGTACATGAGGGAGAGGGCATCAGGGGCCGGCGATGTCCTGGGGTGAGGATGTCAGGTGACGGGGGCTTTTGTTGGTTCACCTGTGCTGCATTAGCGGTTATATAAAAGTGCCTTCTGGTTTTTCTCCATGCACCCACACGCTTGGGCCCCGGGGCCCGATCCTGCAGGCCGCCGGGATCCCCGCTTTGGTTCGGAGCCTCGCTGTCGCTTTTTCATTACTCCCTGCTCTTCCGTTCATCTCGCACCCCAATAAAATCCCGATTCCTTTGTCCCACCTCCATGTCTCCTGCGTGTTTTTGCTGGAACAGACCTTGCTACATTACTTTTAAAATGTGCAAATTTTTGTTAATTAGCATTTCTAGGAGCACAAATATCATGTTCATTCCTAGAATCTCAGGCAATAGGAAAAGTTCGCTGCGATCTAAAAAGTCCCGTGATGCCGAATCCTCTGTACATCGTGCCTCGACAACCTTTTCCTTCTGCTTTCTTTCAGTTTACCCATCTCTGGAATCAGAGGAAGATCACCCCATTTTCAAATCCAGGTCCAAGAAGAGGAAGAGCTCTGACGACACTCCTTACAGCCCGACCGGTACGCCGATGAGATCATTTACAGTCACATTTATTTGTTTAGCAGAGCCTTTCATCCAACGCGGCGTGCAGTTGAGAAAGCAGAGCCAACCAGATGATGAAATGCGTTGAAGCAAGTCGAATGGAGCCTCAAAGCCAATCACGTTAAGGGACCCCGGATTATGCCGTGCAATTACTTTGATCGTTTTTTTTTTTCTTTTCATTGCCGTAGCTCGGGTGGGCCCTTCAGTGCCCCGGCAGGAGCGACCAGCCCGGGAAGGGGCGCGGGTGGCTTCCATAGAAACAGGGCTGGCGGCTGCGGCGGCCAAACTGTCCCATCAGGTTAGTGTTCCGTCCTAAATCTGTCAGGGCTCTCCCGTTAACAAGGAACCGAGATGAGTGCTAGAATCCCGTCTGGCTTCCGTTTCTTCGACTGCGAGGGTCCTCGTGGCCCTAGAGTCCCGAGGAGCTAGGGGCAAGGAGAAGGAGCCTCACTTTGGTGTTCCTGTTGGCCTCCACAGGAGCAGCAGAAGATCAAGAAGAAGAAGAAAAGCTGTAAGAAGGCCAAACCATCACTCGAGGAGTCCAACAAAGTCTCCCAGAACAGCAGCTCCCCGGAACCCAATGTGGACTCGCAGGACAGCAGTTTGGCAGACCATGAGTACACCAGCGGGACGGGCAAGGCCTCGGGCGGCTCGCAGCCCATGGCGCCAGGGGTCTTCCTCACGCAGAGGCGACCATCCACTTCGTCGCAGAACAATGCCGCAGTGAAGGTGGAGCACGGCTTGACAGCGGAGGCCAAAGGTCAGTGTGTGACCACATGGGGGTGATGCGTAGCTCGAACCGCGTGTAGGACTTGTGAGCCATTGGCGAAGGGAAGCAGTGGCTGAGCCGTCGTCCTTTTCCCCTTTAATAGCTGGGATTTCATTTGCTGGGCTGTAATAATCAGTTTCTCTCAGGCCGTGTTACTTTTCAGTTACAAAGTGTCATTTTTACATTTCATTTTTGCTTCAGAGGAAAATAAATCGGCAACACTTTACTTGAAGCTGTCATCTGTAATGCATTATAGATACCTTTATAATGTATTGTAATAGTCGGTATAAGAGTTAAAGTATTACAGCATCTTCTATTGACAGTCATTAGGCATTATAGTGTTAATTATAATATTTTATAAGCTCCAATGAAGCTCTCTTCTATAATGCATTATAGATACCATCATAATTCATTATAATGGTTGGCATAAGAATTAATTAATTAAGATACTTTGTACTGCATTATAAAGGTATCTATTGGGCATTATAGATGAGAGCTTCGTAAAGCATTCATAATGCATAATAAGCATAGCTATAATGTGTTGTGCCTTTTAAAAAATATTTATAGCCATGTTTATAATGCTTTATGAATGCATTATTATGTGTTGCGAATGTGATCATAGATCCTTACAGACATGGCACTCACAGAAGGCGTTACCAATAGATCCTTTTCATTCCACTGAAACGCATGCCATAAATGAAATCAGAAACATTTTCACGGTTTTGCACAAATGCTTGAAAAATCGTTCACAGCATGATTCAGCTGGTAACAGGCATTAATAAAAACATGTTACCCAGCACCTTTGGAATCTCAATACTTAACCTTGGCTTTTTTTTTCTTCGTAGCCAAACGGCTAAAGAAAGGCATGGCGACTGCCAAACAGAGACTGGGAAAGATTTTAAAGATCCACAGGAACGGGAAGCTCCTTCTGTGAGGGACAGTGTCAGACTGGCACCCACTGATGATGTCACGGGCCTCCGCCAAGCCTTCACTCTGCCCGGACTCCTCCTCGCTCATCATGCACAACGGCGGCGAACATGGGCAGTAAGACCGCTTATAACATTTCTCCGTTTCTAAGAAGAGCGCGACTCAAATAGGTTTTTGCCTCGACTTAATACTTTATAACTTTCAGATATTAAAAGTGTACAGAATATCCGCTATAAATATTTTTTAAGAAATGTGTGTCATTTTACTACAGCTGTCTATCAGGGGTTGCTAAAAACAGAGAAGACAGAAAAGCATTACAGTCATTCCAAGTCATAGAAAGTATCCCTTGCATGGAATTAATTGCATGTATGCACATTTTTGTAGGGGGTGGGGGCACTCGCATACACGTGATGTGTACAGTTCACTATTCCAAAATGGATGTGGCTTGTCCTGCAGGTGCTGTTTGAGGCTGTACAGGTCAGCACAGTGATGTGTCTCGCAGTGTTTACCACTGGAATAATACTACAAAACCTCTCACCTCAGATCATCAGACGGTCTCCCTCATGCCACTGCTTATTTTTAAAGTTTTTGGCGTTGGATTAGTGTTTGCAGAGCATTAACAGTGATATTATTTATTGAACCGATTAATAGAATTATTATGGACCAACAAATGGCACTTAGAGACAATACTGAAGCACTAAAATCAAAACCCAAACAGATGTTCTCAATAAAAAAGTGCGCGATAAAATAGAAGACGTTCATAAAGCAGTTTGAACGCTCAGTGATGACATCTGTGTCTATTTCGGTGGAAGGCAGTCTCCAATGCATGCCTGCACCCTCTTAATGGTACTGAGCAGCGTCAGTAATTCTGTTTCTTATGCACCCTAATAAGCCTGTTTCAAAGATAAAACTGTAGTAGATTAAGGTGCTTAGAGCTGAACACACCTTCCAGGCTTCTGTCCAATTCCTTCACTTGTTCCTTTTGATCCTAATCGCCATGGATACTCCCTTTTGCCCAAAATAATGTGTTGTGGCAGATCCACCTAAAACCAATCACAGCTCATGCCTAACACTCAGCATGCGTTCATCATTGGCAACAAGTGCAGCCGTTGGCTCTTAAGGCCGCGATAAACACATTAATGTGCATTTTATATGACTTTATTTCTCAGGGTGTGGGATAGTGGGCAACACTGTCACCTCACACCTCCAGGATTGGGGGTTTGAATACCCCCCCCACACACACACACACACTTAGTATGTGTTTTGTTTGCATGTTCTGTCTCTGTGTAATTTCCTCTGGGTTCACCAGTTTGCTCCCACAGTCTAGTGACATGCACTTAAGCTAATTGGTGTCTCCAAATTGCCCGTATTGTGTGTGTGCGCACAGGTCTGTGCCCTACAAAGGACGGGCATCACATCCAGAATATGCCCCAGATTTATGCCCCATGCTGCCTGGGATAGTCTCCCAGCAACCCTGTCCAGAATAAGTAGGTGGAAGAAGGGTGGATGGATGGATTTTTGTTTCTCTATATGAGATAAAAGTACTTGCATGTTGGTAAAATCTCTGTCTTTCTGAGAAGTTGCTGAGATACAACCTAGTGAACAATTTAGTGCAATTTTCAAATGTTGCAGTATTTGGTAAGACAGAAAATTAAAATTAGTCCATTTATTGTACAAGAAAGACAGTTAATCTGAATAACTAAATGCCATCCTTCATTTTCTAACTTTTATAAAACAATTATAGGAGGTAATACCACATCTGATATTTTCTGTGGATAAATTTACTTGGATTTGAAGTTTGGAAAATACATGGGGTAATGTTTAGTATTCTCCTTCAGCGTAATATTCTCCCACATGGGAAATGATGTGATTATCAAATGTTTACTCTTGTTACCACTGCGTTCAAATTTACATTTGCACATTTCAGAAAGGTCACGGAGGGATAGTTAAAAACTGAACACTAAGTTAATATGACTTACAGCCCAAATAACAAGCCTCATCCATCTCGGGTCTGTTTATGGCTACACAGGGATACTTTCTTACTCAGATTTGTTCCACAGGCAGCACCATTAACTAGATAGAAATATGCATTTATATTGTATGTAGAATGTAGCTTGTATACAGCTTTTTAAATGACTACTTTTTGTATCAGTTTTCTTTTTTTTTAACACTTAATTTTACATTTCTACTAGTTTTTGCTAATTATAAGTATATATATAAAATATAAAATATATATATATATAAATATAAGATAGCCTTTACTTTTTCATTTTCGCAAACACAGTGTAGGACATTTTATTTTGTTGTTTTATTTTTAAAGAGTTTATTAGACCGAGGTGTTGCCTGGAAAACAAAGAAAAATAAACGGTTTATGTCATATGACCTTACACAACATGAAGCTAGTCGTGCTGAAACGATTGCGTTCATGCGGGAGGAATCTTTGAGGACATGCAGAAAGTCGCCGATTTCGAGCGGAGAGCCTCCAGTCCATAACCAGCCACTTGTTCTCGTACCCTGATGGAATTCGAGATTATTTTACTAGCACCTTGTGAAGTGTTTTCTGTGTCTGTGATGTAATTTATAAATGTTTGTAGTCTTTTATATTTGTACATTTCTCAAGAGCTTGGATTTTAAATATTTTATCAGCCTGTGAAATTCTTGTTTAAGGAATCTAGGTGTCAGTCAGTTAGCAGAGATGCCTGCAGCCTCATTGACTTTTCAAGAATTAGAGCAATTTTAGGACCGAAAATTATATGTTTATTTTTATTATTATTATTATTATTTTATTATTATTATTTTTTGATTATTACAACTATCAGTTATTTTTAGCGGGAAATCCGTGTGACAAGTAATATTGTTATTACTATGATTATAATTATTGTCATTATTTCTACTACTATTATTACTACTACTTTTACTACTACCAAGCAACTACTATGTGGTATTACTCTGCCATCATGCCTTTGATTTTATTTTGGTAATACAGTATGTATGTTTGACATGGTTTTAACAAGATTTACAAGGTGATACTCCATTGTAGTGGTATATTTACCTGTGTAAATCTTGAGTTCACTCCACAGAATTGTTTAAAATATAGTCCAGATCAAACTTTGTCAAGTTTTTATTTGTATAAAAATTGTGAGTCGCTTTGTGGTTTATTTTTCTATGTACAGCTCATTAAATACAGGCACCGGGGCACTGTCAGATGCTGATTGTAGTTGTCTTCCCTGATGAAAAGATGCCTCCAGTTTCTGGCTTCTGAACTCTTGCCAAATTAGTATCTGTAACTAAGTTCGCCTTCGGAGTGCCTGACCACCCCCCCCTAACTAAGGGGAGTAGCCAGCATAGTATTGTTGGTGTTATTTAATGAATGTGGTCATTAGTCCTGTACAACTTTTAATATATGACTAAAGAACTGTATTTTGAAAGTGTATTTTCATCCTAAAAAGCATTAACACATGAATTCATCTGAAAGAAATGCTTAAAGGCTTGACTGTCACCGTCTTACGTGCTTCACCTGATCATTTCACACTTAAAATCCGGATGTCTAGCAGTAACTCTCTTCACGTTAGTTATCTGAAGGAGTCCAGCTTGAACAAGCTTTGTTCAGAACCTCTTTGCCCAGACTGAGCATCAGCATATTTGATGGAACCAGAAAAGTCAAAGTCAAACAGGTCAATGCTGTTAAGTAGATTCAGATATGATTGTAACTGGTGTCATTATGCTCACACACTACTGTAAGTCACATATATACATGTTATGTGTTTCATTCACAGAGGCGTTTCCTGAGGTATTACAGTGTGAGTTTGCAGTTACAGACGTCCTAGAAACCAAGCTTACATTTCTGGTACGAACAGACAGTGAAACATGACTGGCGGCCTGTACAAAACATCGAGCTATACGTGAAAACGGTCCTGTGAGGAAACACGGGAACCTGTGACGATCGCCACTCCCAGGCAGGACGCAGGAGACAGCGCGAGGTTCACGCCAGTCCGGGTCTGGTGCTGTTCATCGTACCAGAAGAGCTTCTCCAGGACACGGTGTTTTACGGAGATGGATGCTGCCATTTCAGGCGAGCTTCCAAATGGTACTATACACCCTTTAATGGGAGGGAAGGCTGCTGAACGGGAGCGCAGAGCGCATATATATCCACCCTTCAGCTCCTCAAACCACCTCCTTGCCATGGATTTGACCATATTAAAGCCTTACTAATAACTGCATCATAAGCATGCAGTTTAATGCTCTGAATGCCGAAGCTCCACACTGCCCTGGCAAAGGTAGGGAAATGCTCTCCACGGCCCTGTGAAATCAGCCGAGCAAGCAGGAGAGAAATGTACCTCACCTAGCTGTGAGTGTGCCCCAGTGAGCGACGTGAACTGCCAATACTGACTAGGAGCAGGGAAGGGAGATCAATAACCGGCCTGGTGCCGTGTCGCCCGCTGCTAAATTTGTGATAGAGAGAGGACACTTCTCCAGGGTCCTTAGGTGTCAAAATATCAACAGTGCCGTATAAAATTCCCATACAGGACTGGGTATTACAAAAGCCTGCCATCTGTACATAATGCCTGGAAGCGGGTAAAGGAGACCAGTGGAGATTAATGCTGATTCTAGGTGTCTAGAAATTAAAATTGATTGCCATTGGCGCCATGCATCAGCAAAATGTGTCCTTTGCATTTAACCCATATGTAACGTAGCAGTGCACAGCTGTTATTTAGCACCCAAAGGGCAGCATCTTGGTGCTCAGGGATTCAGACCAGCCACCTTCTCTAAGCATTAAGACACAACCACCCCATTAGTCAACTAGAGAAACTCCTGGATAAATGGTCATATGTATAATTCTTCAAATTTACGAACTGCATGCATTTTGCAGGCGTCTCTGAAATGCCCGTGAGAAATGAGTTTGGACTCTGCGTAGAATGACATCCCATGCAAGATTTTTTAGGAAGAACTTTTTTTGTTGTGAAGTTACTTAAATGACAGATTTTCTTTAACATATGCAGATCATGCTTAACGCTGAATCTAACAGGACTATGAAATGCTTATGGAATTTCATTTCTGTAGTCCACAGAACATTTTTTCCAGTCTAATTGGAATACAGTGATGTACAAATAAGACATAAGAAATACAATTCCATGGACA